GGTTTAAGTGAAATGTGGGGTCATAAAAAAAAAAATCAAAACATCACTTTTGGCCACTGTTGTGTTTGGTGGGGTTAGTGCCACAATATGTAAGAACCTGCTTACTGTGTCATCACCGGTGCATTGCTGCATTTTTCCAATTTTCCAGTCAAAAAAAAACAATTACTACTTTCATGTCTGCTGTTAGAGCATTGACTTGTTCAGTGGAAGAGGTCATTAAATTTTTTACTTTATCAGTTAAAGTTTTTATCAAAAAAGACTTTTTGATCTTTACAATTAAGTTTGTATCGTTTTATCAATTCCATATTATCATATAAGTCCAATATATTGTGTTTGTCGTCTCCTCTTTTCTGCCATTTTATTACTCCTAACTAGGTTAGGAGACCTCTCCAGCTCTCTTAAATAATTTAGGAGCTGAGACCTCTTTTAACACTTAGGAACCTTTATGAATCACTCTTATTGTTAAGTCTAGGAATAAGAGTAAAATTACGTCATTCTTAGAATTGACACACTTAAGACTAAACTTTTACTTTGAGCAGCTTTATACATACGGCCCCTGGTCTTTAGCACCCACATTTAATTGATTGTCACACAAGCCTCTTCCTAGATATAGGGATGACATTGTTGTGTCTGGGATTTTGATTTTTAATATCTGTTGATTATAACTGAACATACATTTATGTTTTTAGTGATTTGGTTATTGGTTTATTGGTTGTACTTGGTTACTTTTCTGTTATTAGAGTTCAGTGGTGCTTTACTAGTGCTTAAACTCTGGGTTGGGGGATTATTCACATCACTAACCCAGAGCATTAAAACTTCACAGCATAACCTGTCCTGTATCATTTTTGCTTCTGACATGTATTATACCTCATATCATGTGTTTTTTTTTAAGGAGTGATGAGTGAGTGCTTTTCTAAACAATCATTGAAAAGTCACCAATCAGATGACTTAAAAAAAAAAAAAAAAAACAGACTTACTAAAAAGAGGCCATGCAAACTTAAGGATGTCTTAGGTGTGGGCTCGTTTAACTGGACCAACTCCTTAGCAACACGCTTACAACCACTCAGAACACTTTAGTAACTGCATCAGAATATACAAATGGGGGGAAAAAAACTATTTTTTTGTTGTTTTGTTCTATTTTTACTTCATTAGGTAAAATGGTCCAGAGAAAACTATCACCACAGTCTCAGCGCACCCTACTGTCTTCGCCTGGCATCTGCAGATGCAGCAGGGAAGATTATTGTGTGGGATGTGGTGAGTGGTATGGCACACTGTGAGATCCAGGAACACACCAAACCTATTCAGGGTAAGAACCCTATTTACTAAGCTTGTGTTAAAATAAACTCTGTGCTCTGAGTAAAATAGACATTTATTTAGACCACCAGTCAAAATTAGTGAATTGTATTTATCATGACAGATATAAATTATGTCTACTTATGGACTTTTTACATCAATTTATATATCAAATAGTATATAGTATATATGCATCTGTTTAAATAACAATGGCAGTTATGAATTTATTGCTGAAGAAAGTAGCTACACACACAAGAGACATTCTTTGTTTTTTTTATTTTATTTAAATATTTGTTCAGTTAATGTATTGCTCTCTCAGTTGTGCAATACAGTATTAGTAGGACCAGCGCACTACCTGCGGCACTTGGCCTGTGTCCTCTTGCCTATGGCCAAAATAAAGGCATATCACACTCTTGCTCATTTCATATTGCTGATATTGCAGAGCTTATATATTATGGTCTTTTGCATAAAGAAAATTAAGCTTGCTATAGGACCATTTAGATATTTTGCATTGTGATGTTATTTTGATTAATTAACTGTTGATCAAGCACATCTTCAACTGAAATTCTCATTACCATCCGGTTAGATGTTTTGCATTGTGACCTTATTTTAATTAAGAATTAAGCACGTTCAGCCCAAATTCCCATTACCATAAAATTTTTTATTTTTTTAATAGCCATGATTTCCATTTTCGTGGTGATTTTCATTAAATAATCATTACTGTAATGCAGTAATTATTTACTTGCATTACATCAAAAAATACTGTAAGGCAATTATAAATATATTTTTATATAAATTAGTAATTTGTTAAAGGCATTGCAGTATAAACTACCTTAGTAACATATGGGGCCAAGCCTTTAGTTTACTTTATTATTATTATTATTACTTCCAAATTGGAGTCAGTGGCAGCCCTATGACGGGAACAGGAAAATGATTAAATTTGGCATACTTTTAGTGATGGTCGTAAATAGTGATCTGACCAACTTTGGGGTCTCTAGGACCAACTCTATAGTGCCACCACCAGTTCAAAAATTCAACTTTGAAATAGTAATAACTAGGGCTGCAACTAACGATTATTTTGATAAACGATTAGTTGGTCGATAATTTTTTCGATTAATCGAATTAAAAACAAACAATTTTCTTTTTTTATTTTATTGACAAAAACACACTATTCCACATTCTGCCCAATGTCCTTAAAACAAACGTGCCAACTGAATGCTATGAAAACATACAGTGCTTAACAATTTATTAGACCACCTGCCATAATTAATAGAAAACACATTTTAGGAATTTTAGGAATCTGTCAAAAAAATGTTTTGACCTTTAAACTTTAATTTAACTTTCAACAACAGAAATTTCAGCACAATAAATGTTTTTGCGCTCATTATTTATTGTCTCTGTTTTCCGTCTGTCTGACACACGTGCACACTCTGGCGCTCATTCAGTAAAGATTAAAATTTAACGCAGACTGTCAGGACGGACCTTTATGCAAAAATGGAAATGCTCGCGTGAATTTGTGACATTTATACATGAGGATATGACCGTTAACTGAAAGTTTTTTTGCGCTGAGGACGCACACGCATCTGTTAAAGCGCCTGACAGGGCAAGCCATTACGCTAATGCATTAGCTTAAAGCTTAAAATAAAGAATTCTCACATTTTGGGTAGCTTGGATCACGTAACTCTCCTGCAGCATCTCATTCTGTTTCCTCCACTATTTTAGATGCATTTTGTCCACAGAAATAAGTAATTCAGTGCTTCAATTTGACGCGACTGGCTGAAGTTGGACAAGTATGTAAACTCCGTTGGACGTGCACTGTGGGCAGACCCGATTAATCGATAATGATAATCGTTGTCGATGATTTTCATAATCGATAATAATCAATTTTATCGATTAGTTGTTGCAGCCCTATA